CAAAAAGCCTCAGTATTGGCGTATCGCACTTTTGACTATGCGACGGAAATCCTTTCTGCTCTCTTCGTCCCTGAATATCCTTTATTCGCGTTTGGCCTGTAAGCACTCTAACACCCACCAAGGTGCCGTCCTACCCTTCTTCGCACTCCCGCGTCTTCTGGTAGCCATCATAGCATCATTGATGGTTTGGACAAGCTTATCAGCAAGGTTATCGACCTCGCTTATTGAGACCATAGGCTACATCCCTATTCCATGGGCCCACCTACCTAGTACCTTGGTAAAGTCTTCGAGTGCATCGTCTGTCACTCGTACTGATTGACCAGTTTTGTTAACCGCTCTAGCTTTCAAGTTTGGACGGGGAACATCTCCTGCAAGAGTTCTGTGTTCCGATGTTGAGTCAAGATCTATCGAAATATTTGCAAGGGCACCAGTGTTAGACCAAACCAGGTTGAGTGTGTTTCCGAGATCGTGGGTCGAGACGTCCGGTGCGGAAGAAAGGTCCATACCGTGCTCGAACATCCACTCGGTGAGCACCTGGCCGTCGCCGTGTAGCCTAGTAGCCATTGGCTGCCAGTCAGGGTAAAAGGAATTAAAGTCTCCGCCGATATCTGTAGGCCCAGAAGGAACCCAAGATAGCAGCGGCCGTAGATCGACTCCTGGAGCGCGATATACAGAGACAAAAGTGACACCGTCAACATTTACTGCGGTTAAGTTTGGTGATGCTACACAGATTGCTTGCTGATGGCACTTAATACCTTTTCGCGTGTAAATAAGTGAACGTGGCATTGCAGTATCAGCAGCGGTATGGAGAGGCACATGATTTTCGAAACCGGGGTGCGAGTTAATGAGCCATACTCCGTCGTTAAGTTGGGTCCAGGGTTCCTGGATCAGTAGGACATCGGTTCCTGAATCCCAAGCGGATTGTAGGATGATGTCTGTAGCCGGGTCTCCTCTGCCGAGATTAGCGCAGAGAAACGAGATCTTTGTTGCAGTTGTGTGGAGCTCGGTAAGATTGTGGTTCCTTTCGGGTATTGAGTTACGTTAGTGGTTTCGTTTTTGGAAGTCGCCTCGGTGGCTTTCTGCTTTGCTTCCATCTCTGGGATTGAAGCGTTCCGTTCCTTTTGACCTTGCTCGCGTATAACCGATAGCTGGTCTTTAGTTCGCTGCACAGTTTTGCCGCCAACCCAGGTTGGTCTAGCCATACAGTGAGGTTCGATGGCTACATGTGGCCCATGGCAGTTCATGCACCTTGGGATGGTCTGCTTACAGATAGATGCTTTATGCTCGATCGATCCACATCGTGAGCATCGCTCCGCTCGTGAGAAAATCTTTGTTGGATGATGTCCCCAGCATCGGTTGCATTGTGCAATTTTGGCCTTGCGCTGGAGCTCGTGTAGGCGACCGCTCTCTTCGAAAAGTCGCTCACCCTGTTTTGGCTTACCGGTTACAGAATGCAGCACCCAGTCGGTTGATGGCCTAGCCATGCTTGTCGCGAACGCACGAGGCGATGTCAGTCTAATGCCCGTTTTTAAAGTCGCTTCTTCCATCACCATCTCCGGTGTGACTGGCGTTGGTCCCTCTAGATTGTAGAGCCAGTGTGGTACATTTGGAGCCAGCACCGAGATCTAGTTGGAAGCAGCTTCCAGTTTCACTTCCGTGCTCTCTAACAGCACGGTACCCGAGAGCACGTTTCTTGCTGCATCCCCTTCAGCTTGTATCGCGAACCCTGAGTTGACGACAGTAGCCTACTTGATCGCAGAATTATCCGTAGATAACTTGCAAGGCTTATTTTGATGTAGTGAGGAGACATACGTCTCCACGAGTGGTCGGGCTTGACCCGTAGGAACACACGCTCGTCTGGTCGGGCTGGCATGGAAGCGAGGGTATTTGACCTCGGCAATTGTGTAGGCCCAGATACTTTTAACTGGGACCCATTGAGTGGTAGCGATGTTGATGCCACTGGTTGTACAGGCTTCGACTTTTTCCTGACCACCTGAGTCCAGGATCTCTCGGTATTGTTGGTGTTTTTGGGCTCTTTGCCTTCGACTTGCCTAGTAGGCTTTGTCGAAGCCGGCTCTTTGCCTTGCGCCTGGCTGCAGCTTTCTCTCGCGAGGATTTTCACTGGTCGTGGAGTGCTCGCGTTATTATTTCCTCCTGACTTAGTAGCCGGTGGCGGATGGGTTGTTGTCTCGCTGCTACTGGCAGCCTCTGATGGCCCACTTGATAGGGGCTGGGGGTTTCCGCGCAGGATATTACTAATAATGGCTTATAAAGCCTCTCCATTCTTTTCGACAGCTCGTCGGAGCTGTTTGTCGGTTGAAGCAGCCAGTAGGTTAATGTACCCACTGAAAATACGCCCAGCCTCTGCGAAGCGTAAATTAAAAGCCCTCGCTTCATTTGCGAGGAAGTTAGTCATTATGACACCTAATGATTCGGTGGGGTTCGGGGGCGAGTATTGGCAGCTCGCCTCGTAGATCGGCTCTGCGTTTGTTTGTGCATTATTTGGTTGGTTGGGTAGCCCTGTGAGGACCATTTCGACGTCAGGACGCGTCGAATTAACGGGTGGAAGGGAGGCCAAGAGCTAGCCTCTGCAAAGGACTGGGCGGCATGAGTAAGTGAAGGATATTTATGACAATAACAGATCGTATATGATATATGATTTCGTCACTTGGGACGTGGAAAGAAAAATTTGATTGTGATTCAATAGCTGTATTGGTTAGGCAATCAAGAGTGTTTTTGAAGATGCGTCTCTAAGCGACTGCTGGAATAAGACGATTGGACTATACTTCATGGCGAGCGGGATAATGAGGAGAGACATACTAACCTATTACGAGCTAGCCCAACTAAGCCTACAGGGCTAATCCCTTAAACATCCCAGTATTAAGCTTAACGTTTCTGATCCTAGAGGCACTTTACACGCTAATAAGGGTTTAATGAGCGAGTGTTTATAGTCCTAAAAAGTCTACAACTATGTAAGGACATGTAGGTCCTTTTAGCCTACAGGCCGGGAGTATCTATGCCTCGGGTAGTGTACTCCCTCCTTTGCCTCCCTCACGACTTCTTTCCAGCAGTAATACCCCTACAGGTCTTCATTCGAGTACACACTAAGAGGAGCCGTTATCCCGTCGTTATCTCCCCTCTCCAGCCAACGAAACGATGGCCATTTGCGGGTGTGTAGCTGCAGGGAAAAGTCTCAAAAACCACTGGGTGCGAGGCTCTCCTATGACGAAGAGGCCGGCCAGCCGGAGGCAGCAGACCTGTGTATACCTAAGAGTGTCTCTCAACCTTCCTAGCCTCCTCCCTACTCCTCCCCTGATTCATGCCGTAGGACAAATCGTAGGTCGTGAAAGGATGTCAGAAAAGTCTTGGTCGAGAGTGAGTGCCGTGAAGGAGCCTAGCCTAGCATCCAAAAGTTGTTACGGACGTGGGGTTGTCGAGTAACTCGTGTATTTCAGATGCCCTCCTGGCTAGTAGATTTGGAAGTTATGATTAGTAGGGACGATAATGTAGACGAGTCGAAACCTGCTTTTCTTGAGGACGGAAGGGTCTTTTACTTTGCTTCCGTGGGCTTTTTGCTCGCCCGCCGGTGAGTAGCACATGTTGTGATATAACGAGGGCTTCTCTGACTACCGATGTAGCGTTTGGTACCGCATTATCTCTCCTCATTCCCAGCATCATTATCGTCGTCTTTGTCGTCTTATGTGTTATCGGAAGCGTATCTTTGACGGAGGGGGAGATAACTCAACTCAAAGTTGATAAGTTGTTACTCAATCTCGGCTCTAAAGGCTCTACAGTGAGAGCTGGAGATTCGTAGGGGACATCACTGACAGGTATTGAGAATAGTCCCCCATCCTAAGAGATTTCTAGCCGTCAAAATTGGTCACATTTTATCCAACGTTTTCCGCAATTATGTGCCTTGGCGTGCATCGGATCACTCTCAGGCTTATGTATTATGGTCGGCGCCACCAGAATTCGATATTCAAGTATTCAAATTTTATAAATTATTGTTGCAAGTCACCCGTTGAATTTATTTACTTTGCAACTCAGCATGGTCATGTATAGGATCCTAAAAAAAAATGTTCATCCTAGTCGTGTTATCTGTATGGGGCTTCTACAATAAAACTTAACGAAAGAGGCTTACTTCCCCAATGATATCATACTTCATCTGAGGTTTCTCTCATATGATTATTTTTCTCCAAAAATTCAAGGAAAATATTTAACCTGCATCCAAGCCACACTGACGCACGGTAAGGACCCACATCACATGTGCTCTTTAGATCAAGCATTTACTTGGATCCATGATCTACTAACGAAGACAACACTAATCTTTCACATTCGAATTGAGAATTTTGAATTTTCTAGCAGATATCCAAGAGAGGAACTTCCATGGTTTGATACCAGTAAGTGGTAAGATAGTCTCTTAGATTTTTTCGGACAAGACTCGTAATTTTCAAAGGTCTCTCAGTCACAACAATTTTTTCAAAAGCAATAGTGAGGGATGTGACTGCATTGTGACCCTGCAAGAGGACAAAAAGTTATCTCAATGCTTTGAATCGAATTTTCGGGCGTAGGGTGTATCCAGGTCTTGAATTCGCATGTTTGAAGTAAGCTTAATAGAGGAAATAGCTTCGGATTCTATTTTTGCTGAGGAAGATAGCTGCACGTAAAAGCTGAGATCCGTGGATGTGATGATGTAGAGCACTGTCGTTTCTTCTCTTGATCAATGCCAATGTTTTTGTAAAGGGTGACGCCTCTCGTGTATGTGTAAGACCTAAGCTTTTGCTTTATCTAAAGACGAAAATCTGTAGTCTAGTCGTAGATACCTAAATTAAGAGATATCTTTGTTGAAAGCATTCCATGAGTCCATAGATGCTTAGCGACTCGGAATTTTTGGCAGTAAGAGCTAGATTTGATCTTCAAATCCCGCTTCGTTAGATCTTATTTCAACTTGATGGAATGTCATTTGGTTTGTAAAAGTATCAAGCATGTAGGAATCAGTTTCAACGAGTAGGGAGAAATTTTCCGGAATCAATCTTTTGCTGGGAGGCTGATTCTGGAAATGCGACAATCCCAGCTATAATCCCTCCAGCCATGAGAGATAAGGAAATAAGAGACCACAAAAATCCCCAGCACTGTGAGGAGCCTCCGTATCTCTGAGCGAAAACACTAGCATCAGAGGTATTCACTTTTCGAAGAATCAAGTCGTCACACTGGTCTTAGTTAGTTTTGAAAATTCATTGGTAGATGAAGGACTTACAATATCCCATACGCTGTATAGAGCTGACATGACTCCTATGAACAAAACCACATATCTCAGAGGTTCGGCGTGGGCTATGAACCAACACGACACAATTAGTCCGACAGCCATTAGTATGGTAAGTATAGTGAGCCAGTCTTTCCTTGCCCACCAAAGTGTGAGTAGAAAACAAACGCCGAGGGCCAGTGAGGCTACTTTTGATGCCACTGTATTAAAGCCACAAAATATGAAAAGGGCACCGATTAGTGAAGAGCCCAAGTATCCTGCAGGGAGCGTAATGAAGTTTATTCCTCCGGCCATGTGCGTCACACCTCCTTCGCGTGGATCTAGAGAGATTGATTTAACTTTTCCACCTGTTAGACATGCCGCAAAGGCATGTCCAAATTCGTGGAAGGCAATAGTGAGCATCTAGGAGAGATTAGCATGTTTTCAGCATGTGGCCTAGATTGGATATACTTTAAAAGGCCATAACGACCAGCGAATGTAGGGTATATTCCAGAGGAGCGCAATGACTACGACATAGGCAGCAATTATGCCCAGAGTCACTTTTTGCGCATCGTTAACCACCAGGCCGCGACGTGTCAAATATTGGTTGGAGCGTTGAGTGAGTGTTGCACCCGTCAAAATAGCAAATCTCTTGGCTGTGCGGGTATATTTGATTCGTGAGCTGGATAGCGATTCCATGGGAGCCATTTTGAGAGATTTGTGTGAGTCTTCATAAATTTGCAGTGCGGAATTCCCCCCATATATAACTCCGGGGAGTCTAGCAAGTCTTGATAATGTTGCAGACACCTGCCATCTCTGCAAGTAAAGGAATTTAAATGGCAGTACCGTTTTGCTCAAGTAACGTCATCTTACATGTCTCAGCTGTGCGCCGGACTGAAATAGATTAGACGGTAACTAAATCGTCCAATAGCTCACTAGTCTATAAGGCGGCTAGGCAGGACTCTTCATCAACACATGTCGCGGCAACTCTCTTTCGTGATTGACTAGCTAATTAAACTTTTGTGTAAACCTGGTTTAGGGCCTCAAGTGTCATGAACACGCTGGGCTTCTACAATTTTCATTGCAGGTTTTGGACCAAATTTATGATATCGGATGAAGCATGATTGAGTGTATGTTCACTCACAATATCACCGCCGGCATGATTACCTTCGCTTACAATCGGCCGTGATCCTGAAATATCCTCATCCGATTAACATTTAACAAGGATCTGCCAGGTATCTCAAGACCACGCAAGGAGAACGAATATGAAGAACTGCAAAGCTGGGTCATTGACCCTCCCATACACCAATAGCACTCGCTTCGAAACACTACATGAGCGGCTGGTACCTTGGCATGGAATAATTTGTCTTCGCCTATCTAAACATAGACATTTACCGACAGCCTTGTTTGAGATTCACAACTTCTGCCTCCCTCTGAACTGGCCATCTTCTCTGGGATTACATTTTAGCGCTCTGACCGAAGACGAGCGGTTATGTGGTGTTTAGCCCCATAACTGGTAATTTATTTGTTAGCTCGAGCAGAATATGACCACATTTTGTGCGATGGCTATGCACTTGGTGATTATGATATACTTGTCAAACCGAATGTTTGCATTTTCCCTGTCTCGCACACAGAGACAACGGCAAGTAGCGGAAGAAAGAGACCGAACACCCGTACGTGGTGTCCACTACGAACATAGAAGTGAAATATTCAAATCTGAGGCATGAGTGCTCTTCTTGTAAATTGAGTCATCTTTTCTGTACTTTTCTTTGATATTGTGTCATAGCTAGATAGCTGCATACGCAATTAAAATCTGATGCAAAAAAAAATAAAACACAATGATCGAGCAGCCTTTGACAGACGCACATACATTCTCAACGGCTGATAGCGCATTTTCACAGGGCATGACCGGTCAAGCTTTTCTTGCCAACAACGACTTATGTTATCGTTGTGGTAAAAAAGCTCACAGGGCTAACACCTGTCATCTCCAACGTGAAATGCCAAGAAATCCTAGGACTCAAATTGAACCTCAGAAAAGAGGTATCCAATATCGTCAACCAGATCTCACCCAAACATTTAACGCTCTGAGATTTAAACCGAGTGTTACGGCCTTGTATTCATGACCCTCGGGGCCTCTAATACTATTGCTCTTTTCAGTTATTGTGTTGTGATCCTATATACTCACGTGTAACGGCTAGTGAGCCGGTAATCATCCAGTGTCACATGACTTTAATCACGTGTTGTACAAATCTTCGAAAATCAATACTCTTTCATGGACCAATCGGGACATCACTATAAAATTTCTAGCAACTAGTAGTAGGACTGCGAACCAGCCTCAAGGGAACATACTAGAAACTGGTTACAGGCGAGAAGAATATTCCAGATAGTACAGTAAGTGTATAAATAGTTGAGGTAGGGCTTGTATAGATAGGCACAGAGAAAATAATAAACTACCTTCGTATATCTGATTGCTCCCGCATCGACACTCGAACTGTGACAGCACGGACCAATTGTAAATTATGTATATATGTACATCTCTAGATACCTCTTGTTATTTTCTTTCCTTAGTTTAGAATCTTATGAATCATATTCCAGATCTGAGTCCTTACCTGATTCGACTTGTTCATCTGCTAACCTGTGCTCCTTTCTGGTCGTTACACCGAGTATGGTTCGTTCAAATCACCAAACCACTAGCAATAATCGACCCCAACACAATAAATCCTACATTGTGAATACAAAGGATTTTACGGATGAAGAATGGGAATCTTTACAAAAGCTAGGCGCAGAAGAGTATAAAAGCCGAAGCTTAAAATACGACGATATGCATGAAGATCTAGCCGACGACGAAGAAACCTAATGGTGCCAGGATGCCTACTACGTGGCAGTAGGTGTCGGTGGAATCAAGCCACACATAAAACATCTTCGAGAGGGCTTTGGAAAGCCCCATAATATATTCCTCACAAGACTGTCAAAATTTGCTACTATTACGTTCACTACATTTTTCGACTATGGATCTCCTTCTTGTTATGTTTCTTTTTCCCTTGCAAATAAAATCGCTCCTTATAACTATCTTATTTCATCTACCATGGCCAGGATCGGGGGCAAAGGCCCTAAAATTACGCAAGACGCGATAGTGCAAGTCGAATTTTCTATATCAGCCCTATCACAACAATCATGGACCCCTTGTCACGGATTCTAGGACAGGTGCTGGAGCAACTATGTTGTTGATGGTAGTAGATAATAATTCTGAGGAGAGAACTACTACAAGATCTATCTAAAAATGTATATATACAAAAGAGCCTCATGTTCTACGACGTCATTGCATTATCAACTGAGGAGGTTGTGTCCGATCTCGTATATTCCCAGCCGATAGCTTCTCACCGACAAGTGGTGCCATGTTGAGCTGCACTGTTGAATCGGATGCTATGCAGATTCCGATGCTCCGATATTAGATCGATCGATCGTGCGCACCATAAATCGGACCAAGCCTATGTTAGCCAACATAGGCTACAGGAACCAGCCGTCACACCCCCGCATTCACTGTTTCAGTCGATGTAACACCTGATAATACGTTCCCAGCCAATCTCACCTTAGGACAAACTATGTTTCACGCACTAGGAATCCTCTGTCAAAAGGATGGCTCTTTGTTGGAAATTCTGACTCTCGAATTTAGGACTCAACCACTACCTGTTTCATCTCAGGTTCCCGACAAGATCTACTCTCTCCACACATGTCACCAGTGCGCTAATCGTGCCTACTGTTGCATTTACAATTGGATATTTACGTACTACAGTGTACCTTGGATCATCATGGTAGATGAGAGGTGGCTGGTCATCACTAGGTTTGACAGGCACATGAGACTAGTGGGAATTTATCCCCTAATATGTACATATAAGTCCAATGTTCACATAGTTATAAAATATCAAGTCTTCTTTACTTCATCATATTTATCCATATAATATCGTACAGAGTATATTTTCCAACACTCTTTCCGATTATCAACAATGCAAGGAGAACCGGACATTTACCCGATGAAATTACCGCAATGCCCCACTCAACTCTTTACTATTAGAGATAAAAGACCAGTAATATGGCACAAAGACACCACAGACGTGGACACTCGTTTTGGCATGAAATATGCAAGTTTATTTCCTTCTCTATTCGATAAATCAGCACGAAAAACTGATAAAATTGCAAAAAAAACACCGAATCAATACCCAAAAGCATCCCCCAATTAAACTTCCCCCACGTCGCTATAGTCCAAACCAGCAACAAGCAATTCGTGATTTCTGAAAAGCCCATGAGGGTTCAGTTATAAGAAAGAGCAAAGGACCTTGGGCAGCCCCTCTTGTATTAATACCAAAGAAAAGTTCCGACTATGGCGACCAGGTTATTTGGCGAATCTGCGTTGATTACCGCGAATTTAACAAAGTCACGAAAAAGCATGCCCACCCCCTCCCAAACGCTCAAGACGAGAAACAAAGACGTGCAGGACACAAATTGTATGCATTTCTTGACCTTAAAAATGGATTCTGGCAAATAAACATGCACGCTGATGACTGAAAAAACCGCTTTTGTCACCCCATTTGGGATATACAAATGGATGGTAATGCCTTTTGGCCTATGCGATGCGCCTGCAACATTTCAAGGCTTTATCAAAGAAGTCTTGGAACCATTTCGCCTTTTCACGGCGGGCTTACTGGATGATGTAGCAATTTGGGGAGATTCAATTGACCAGTTAAACACTTGTCTACTCTCTGTTCTATCTCACTTCGCAGAATACGGTCTAATTTTTAATCCTCTCAAATGTCGCCTATTTGTGCCTGGCGGGGTATTCCTAGGTTTCTCAATCTCCGAAAAAGGTATTGCTGCAGATCCTGAAAAAGTCTCCGCTATCCGCAACAAACCTTTACCTACCACGACATCCGGAATAAAGAGATTTGTCAGCGCAGCAAGTTACTTGAGGTGCCTTATTAAGAATTTCTCCAAATTAGCAGGCCCTCTCACAGATCAATCCGCAGGGCCAAAGAACGAGCCGGTTATACTAACACAGGAAGCAGTTGACTCGTGGATGTCTATAAAGGAAGCTATATCAACCGCCCCATTAATCAAAAAATTCGAGTGGCGCCTACCAATAGTTGTGGAGACAGACGCGTCTCAGAAATATGTCGGCGCTGTACTCTTGCAACCTCACGATCTCGCAGTTGAGGAAGAAACAAAAGCTATTCTGCACCCAATAGCTTGTTTCTCTCGAAAGCTGAACGATAAACAGCAAAGATCCTCCGCTCAAGAACGCGAATTACTTGGAATTCTCTTGGCATTGCGATATTGGCGACACTGGGTGGAAGGAAGCAATGTCACTGTTACAACAGACCATGAATCACTCAGGTCTATTCAAACAAAAGTTGAGCAGCCAGCGCGTATCCTCCGATTCTGTTGAACATTCCGGTATACGTATTCTGTATAGAAAAGGAAAAGCGAACGTGCTCGCAGATTTTCTCTCCAGACCATTAGAAGAAGCTTACCCTTTGGAAGAAAACGAAGGAGATACTGGAATGGAATTAACAGATGACCCCAATCTAATCGAAACGCCAGATCTGCCAATGGTAAAAAACCCTGAAGAATTAAATCGCGTTGACCTTAGTTGTATCTACGAGTTCTTATCCCACGATCAACGCTTACCGACTAATCTCCGTCCTGCATGGGTCAATAAAAACTTCGTAATCTATGATGCTAAGCTACACCGAGTTTTAATGAGTCCAATGACTGATGTCGGCGATCCGCCAACTTCGTCTGGGAAAGCAATATTTCTCGAGGTCTTAGAATATGAAGATTTAATCAACAAGTTGTTGGAAAATATACTCTGTATAATATTATATGGATAAATATGATGAAGTAAAGAAGACTTGATACTTTGCAACTATGGGAACATTGGACTTATATATACATCTAAGGGAGAAATTCCTGCTAATCTCGTTTGCCTGTCAAACCTAGTGATGACTAGCCACCTCTCATTGTCACGGGACTAAGTCTTAGGAATGGCTTAGCGAACTTGGGACATAGAGACTTCCATGTACATAGTTAGATTTACTCTCCTTATCGCACAACACAGTTATTGATCCCGACCCATCCAGATCCTGATACTCCCTTTATATATTCCGTGACACTCATCTACCATGATGATCCAATGTACACGGTAGTACGTAAATATCCAAACGTATGGCGACAGTAGGCGTGATTAGCGTACTCGGGACATGTGTAGAGAGAGTCGATCTTGTCGGGATCCTGAGACGAAACAGGTAGTAATGGTTGAGTCCTAAATTTGAGAGTCAGAATTTCCAACACAAGTCAAGACAAATACACGAGAATTTAGGTCACCCATCTGTCGGTACAACGATCCGCGAAACAGCCAAGACATACTGGCATCCTCAACTTATTCTAGCCGTACATGAAGTCATTCGCACATGTAGATCTTGCCAACTTATGAAATCTCCCGACCCAAGCATAAGCGACCTAAGACCAATCCAACCAGCACCCCCACTCATCCGCTGGGGAATAGATCACACGCAGGTAGGTTCACGAATTCTTCTCAATGCAGTTGAGTACGTTACGGGATGGCTGGAATCACGACTCGTACCTAACGCTGACTTTGTTAATACTGTCCCTTTATCTCTGCACATAATTCATGTTTTTTGGACACCCAAGCAAGTTATAAGCGACAATGCCAATAGCTTCAGTGGACACGAAGCACAGCAGTTTCAGATAAAGCAAGGAATTATAATGTCTCATACTACTCCAGCTAGACCTCGAGGCAGTGGAAAGGTAGAACAAGCCAATGGTGTTCTCAAGGGAATACTGGCTCGTGAAATTCTTGATAATCCCAAGGGACCACTAGATAGATCACTATCACGCGTGGTAACTATATATAATCGCCGTATATCACCTTCAGGTTACAGTCCTTGTTTTCTACTCTTTGGAACACAACCTCCGGAAGCAGAACTTGTATACCCAATATACACCCGCGAAGCCACACAGACAGAAGAACAAGAATGGGTTAAGGAATTGGTTAACTTTCAAGCTGCACCCACTGCTAGATCGTACGTAAATAGCATGAAAGCATCCAGGGCCAAAACTCGTGAATATTTACAAGAGTCCAAAACATTAATAAGAATATATGCCCCCGGTGACTGGGTACTAAGAGTCCGGCAAAGAAGACATAAATCTGAGCCTTTCTACGACGGGCTTTGGGCCATCGCTGAATGCCACTCCGGTAACACAATTCTCTGGTGTCACCTGGAGGATACAAAATGGCAAATCGTTACAATGGATCCAATCTCTTCCCAGCATATACTCGCGACGGCCATCCTGTACGAAGCTTGTGGTACGGAAGTTAAAGAATGTTACACCAGGATTGGAGGCAATTAAAATCTGCAGTAGGAATCTAAGTGTATCAAAACCAGACCTTGAGTTGTGGAAAACTCTTAATTGAGAGGAGGAGTGATTGAGGATCCAAAATTGTCAGACCTCTAGATTAGTACGAGGCTCTCATAAGTTGTAATGCTTATGTAATGTTGTTCACGTTGGAGTCCGGGCGCAAGATAAGGAATACTGTACTGAAATAGAGGATACCCTGTATTAATAGAAAACCAAGTTACATCTAGTCTTAAGCTCTACAATACATATTAGTAGTTTGGAGCCACGAGAAACCCGTAACCTATGCCATCTTAAAGCTAAGCTTATCTCACTTTTCATACATACTAATCCATCAGGAACCTCAGCTATATAGCTGATTACACTAAGAATTTAAAAAGAAATAAAAGCGCCACTCCTCTAGCTGAGGTTTCTAGGCGCGCGTTGTATACTTAGTAAATGGTGTGGTGGGCGTAAAAATGAAAGGTATCACGTGGTGTCTCGTGGCTCCTAACTACAATGGATCTTGTGTAGAACTTGAGACTAATACGTGAATTTTATATCCATCAAGTGTAGGATATCTATATACCTTGATTCCTCCTTACTCCTCAACGCTAGTAGATCTACTGCTGTGGTCGCAGGCTCTGACCGTGCGATTTCCTGTGCGTGAGGTCAAAGGATAATTACAATCACTTGTGTGCCGTGTCTCCTACATCTGGCTAGCTCGTGCCCTGTAGATCTAACCAGGATCCAGATAGCCTTGTGACTTGCGTGGGCTCAAAGTCAGCTGATGCTTGGTGATGTATGTGACACCAAAGGTCTGAGCTGAGGCCGTAACAGTTGGATATAGTCTCGAAAGGGAGAGTGAGTGAGTGATGTTAATTGTACTACTTGAGTCCATGACTATCTAGCACATTGGGCTCCTCTCTGACCCAGGCCACACTTTGTATAGTGCTCCTATCCTCTTTTGTTACTTGAAAGATCATTGATATGTTCCCCTTGATGAATAGCCATTAAGCTCAGTGTTTACCCGTGGAATTCGGCCACCTTTTCCACGGAACCTTCTACCCAAAAAAAATAAAAATGGTAACAATGGAGACAGCGTGCGCGGGAAAAAGTCTCAAAAGACCTGCAGGCCCAGCCAGGCGAGGCCTAGACACCGGGACCATATGAGGTGCGCATATTCATCTATATCTCCTTTCTTTGTAACATTAGAGGCCATCTTGATCCAATCCACCATCGCCGCGTCGGTTGCTGGGTACGCTCCGGAAACTCATCGGATGGCATTTCCTTCATGATAAAGGGTGGGCGATAAGTAGGGCTCTGACTACCATCTGATCTGATCGTGGTTAGCTACATGAAAATGTTGATAGGGGAATGTGTTAAGAGACGAAGACGATACAGACCGCGAAAGCGATTGGGACTCCTCGTCGAAGTTAGGACAATGTCACTCAATCTCGGCTCTACAGATTCTACAGTGAGTGCTGGAGGTTCGCAGGAGACACCACTGATAGGTGTTTAGAATAGACCCCCTTCTAGAAAGGTAAGAGATTCGGAATATTGACAATGAGTCTTAAATATTGAGCTTTAAGGGCCACATGACTTCGATTCCAAGAATGGAGGTAACACTATAAAGACTGCCATGGTTTGATGGTGCTGTGGCTCATCATGGTAGCCGATGTCCCAAGTCGATTCTGGATAGCTTAGACACATCCCACTCGAGACAGTAGATGGCTGGTTCAAATCCAGCAAAACACAACCACATTTATCGTGGTGCAAGTTTACATGGATGACATCGGCATGCTTGGACAAGCAAAGGTTTCAAAATTCCCTTTGGTGGGTACCTACGGAGGAGGGTCGACTGTTTGTAAATGCAAACATATCTCAGGGTGATATTTGCGAATGAGATCCAAAGTATGAGTATCTTTAATGTTAAAATAGTCATCCAACATGTAAATATAGCACCGATCATGTGTCATAGCTAGATATCTGAATACACATTAAATGATTTCAAAAATAAAAACGAAATTTACGAAAGACTTATCACAAGTCACTTTCGCAGCCGTGACAGCTTTACATAAAGACTTCACTCTGCATATTTTGGTAGTAGAAGGAAATATAGGAAAATACTAGTATTAAATCGGTAGGCTCTCTGAAGTTTTTTCCTGAAAATTCTAATTAACATGTGATTCCATAGATAGAATGGACAGTCTGAATATGATAACATGCTAAATGGTTAGATAGGTGTAGGATTTCAAATGGTAGACTGCGTTGCAATTCTACACGACTAGGATTCGGCAAAGACGATAGTCAAATTGAGCTAAAATATCATTGAATCCAGAGCCTTCCGTAAGTGATATTTTATTTCAAAATATGTATGAAATAAGTTATGAAAAACGAAGTGGCGCCCTCTGTTATAAATATAAAGTCTAGTGCTAAGTTATGCGCTCCTTCATGGTTACAAATTAAGCGGAATTTTTTGTTGGCTTTTCTTTCCATTTTCATTTTCATTTTCATTTCCATATTGAATATACTATATTGAATCCATGAGGTTCTGTGATGAATATTACCCATTCTTTGGTATTTGGAGGGTGAAGATTACATATAACCTGTACTAATAGCGTTCCATGTGGTTAATAGGAGATACCATACGGGTTTTAAAGGAGTCTGTCGCCTGAGATACAACATTAGTTAATTTATATGTTTACATTCACATGAAATTGCTTCTATCAATAAATGATATTAATGTGTTAGAAGGCTAAATTTCATAACATTAATGGTTTAATGCTGATTGGGAAATCCACATATCTTTGGTCTACTACCTCTCAAGAATAATACAGCCCCCTCATATTTTTCATTTATGGAATTAAAAATCCAAATAAAGGTCTGATATGATATTTTTTTGCATGAGCAAAAAAGACTTGATATAGCTATCTGGTTTACAGACATTAAATTCTGGAATAGACCTTCAGGCTTGAAAAATTCAGTATTGAAGCCTGATTCAGGTATCTATTTTTTGTTGATAAATAGAGTCAAGTTTAATTACTATATCAAAGAAGTGCATCGAGAAGTTATCATTAAAGCTATTCTTATTATTAGAAACACGCTTAAATCTGATCACCAAAAAATTTAGTATAAAATACTCTAGTCTCCCGCCCCAGTAATGCGAGCTATATTTTTTCTGCAGATTGGATCGTTATGATGGGGCTTCGATACCTAGGAAGTCAGGGAAATTGGTGTTGTTTGTTACTTCATTGACAGCCGGTGGGTCTCTTGCTTCTATTTCTATTCCTTGCATTGGTTCTGCAGAGGTCTCTTCAGATTTTGTGCAAGGGGCTAAATCTTGCGCGGATAAGATACTTGACTGATTTGGTGAATTTGACGTAGGGTGCTCTAACAAAGAACCAGCATGGTCTATATTTTTAGGATCTTCTACTTTTGAAGTGCCCAAGTCCACGGTGGTGAGCGACTCAAAATTTTTCGCGTCATAGGTAGAAAAAATGATACTCTTCTCAGAGATTTTGGTAGTCGTGCAAACCTCTTTGGGTATCACAGATTGATTTTCGGGTAAGATGAGTGTGGAATTTTCATTAATCATAATTTCTTGTTTAACTTCTTGAGTTATTTCGGTATTGTCTAGTCCTTGAGCTGTACTGTGGGATAAAGATTCTTTTGGAAAGTCCATCCGTGGTGAAAATTCCTCCACTGCATGAGATTCTACTGTCGAAATAACAGTTAAATTGGCTTCAGTTGCACTATTCAGTAAGCTCTCTTGGTGATCTTCTTCGATTGGAATTTTTAGACTTGAAATATTCTCAATATTTATTTTTTCTTCGAGAAAAGTTGAGACTTCTTGCTCACTTGGAATCGAACCTATTTTAGAGGTCGAGTCCTGAATAGGCGTTGATTCATCGTCCTCTTCAACATCAACATCATTCTCGTTTTCATCTGCATCGTCACCATCATCACCGTCCCAATCGTCTGCATTTGCCAAAGAACCTCCACATGCTTCGATATCTTCACTATTTACAGTGGTCAATGAAGAGTCTTGTTCACTTTTAATTACCTACGATGAGTTAGTTAGCCTAACAAGAAGTATTAGGACCACACTTGGCATACATGATTGACAGCTGCAGAGCCAACAAAATTATTCGCAGAAGTACACGAGGCCATCAATAACTTCTTTCTTTTCGAACGCCCAAGAACGTTCATTTTTTTTTTGAAGACACCTTTCCGTTTCAAGGGTGTAGGTATGCCGGCATGTACATCTACAGTACCATTTGAAATTTTTGCGGCGTGTGACGAGTCTGTTTCTGCGTCTGCTTGCGTATGGGTGACAGATAACTCCTGTAGAGGTTCATTACTGACGACTTCGAGCTTTTGAGAAATTTCTTTACTCGCTGTAAGGGGCTGCGACTTTGGTAAAGTCTCAAACCTTACTGTTGAGTCCTTTCTTCTTCTTGCGAGGAAGTCTACATCTGGCACTTCCAAGTGTCGTGGTATTTGCTTCCATGTTCTGACAGTGAATCCCCTGTCTTGTGGAGGATCTTCTTTCTTCTCTAATTTAGTGCCATGGGTCGCTTCATGTTCAGATTCTTCTTCCTCTGCTGGCGTGGAGCGCCTGTAAATCTTACCCGAACGAGCCGCTCGGAGTAGTTCTTGACTATGTTGTGGTAAGAGGTGAGAATCTTTTGGCATTCCGTATGGAAGTTCAATAGCCCAAATGTCACTTTGAGCTGTTAAGTTGTCTTGGGCGCTAGATGGCGCTACGGTGACTGTCCCACGCCGCCACTGACGTACCGGGAGCCCCTCATATACATCATGATCATTGAGTAGTGTTCGATTATGCCGGCGGCTGGAGCTTCTGTACTAGAGAGAGTCAGCTTTCCCTGATAAATGACGGTTTTCACCTACCCCTGGCGCCATTCTTTACCGGCAGTGATTTTTAATAACAATTTTTTGGGCGTACTGTTGGATACCTCAGGGGGTTATTAGGTAGATAGGCGACTTGGGATGGTGGTAAGCCGCTACGTTGCCTGTAAAGTATCTTTTATTCAACCACCGAATTCGTTACATTAGAGGACTTTAATAAGCCGATCCCCTAAACAAGGTCAAGAAGAAGGAACTGATGATCTTTCTTTGTAAATATTGACTCCTTTGGCTCTTTTCACTGTAACTTATTTTACAAAGTATGTTTATAATTTGAGCAATCTTCCTGTGAGTGTGAAGTTAGTTTTTCCTTGAGGTTCCTTGTATCATTAATTTCTTAGGGATAATGAAGTTCTCCACTTCAATAGACGCTACCTTACAATTAGAGCAGTTAGTTAACTGGTTATGAATAACTATGTGAGGCTGAAGATAAAAATACATTCATAGATGCGAAGAAATACAAAAGCATTGATCGCTAGAGTCTAGAGCGTAGTAACGATTGACCCAAATAGCGTTCAGGACACATCAAAAATGTGTATTTATTGGTGGATTACTCTGACGATGTGATGCTTAATGGAAAATTGGACAGGGCACACATCAGCTACGATTTGAAATTTGAAGAACAGTTGATAGTTTGAATGAGGATCTAATGCAAGTTAACATCTATCAAAAGGCAGGAATCAGTCATCAATATGTATTATATAAAAAAAGTTTGCTCGTCCAAAGAGCAGTATTAATTTCAGATTGTAGAAGTTTCGGGATCCAAAGCTATTTCGTATTCTTTATGCGGTTTTTTTGCTGAAAATGAGCAAACGCGGAATTCTTGTCCGCGTTGCACCCTACGAGCCCAGCAGAAAAGTAATATTTCAATAACAAATTTTGTCAAATTTCCGCAAAAGAAGCTAGCCCGCATAGCAATGATTCAAGATATTCCACCATGTCAACCTTTCACTCCCATCGGCATCGATTCTTACCCAAGCATCTTCATCAATACTATTGCAACCAAGTAAATCCTTATTTTGATGACTACTCCTCCCATCAACTGCCCTGTAGCCTCGGCTGGCCACCAAATATACGTCTAAAATAGTTTGAATTTCCGCTAGAGTTTACAAAAAGTGGTGCATAATTCTGGGAGGTTCTGGGAGGCATTTCCGTGAGGTGGGCGTGAGAGATTAGGACAACATTTACTGAGATTAGATGCGTGCGGGAAAGGGGTAAGATCTAGTGTTTAGAATCCGGGCAAGGAGTTTTACAAATTATTCTTTGCGTGCATAGAGACTTCAAATCAAGGAGTGCTGGCAACACTGTGTACATCGCCTCGGTTGAATGGTGCGGTGGTACATCATCCGCGCTGTTCTCCAAGAAAAGTTGTAAAACGCCTGAATACTTTTCCCACTTGAGCCAGAAGGTCACTCGTGCGGATCCATCAAAGCTAGGTTACATAAGTCGTGACGCTGGTAAGCATGGATGATGAAGCTATGTTTGGATTAGTTTAGATTAGATTTGTATTATAGTCCTAACTGAGTCAAAGACTATTAAGGACTCCTAGAATCTACAAATAAGATACTAGATACATATTTAGAGTTCCAACTGTTCAACTTTAAACTTTGCTCTCATGGACAGTGAGGGACAAGCCCTGTATAATGTTTTATTTTTATTCCAAGATTTTCCTTCTGTTTTCAAATGTAGTTTATTCTTGCTCGGAATTTTCCTCCCTTCTCTCAAGATGCCATGCCCTAGTTGATATTCTAGTGCTGTCAATGAATTCAATCAGTTTTTCTATCCCTATTTTAGCATGAAGGATCAACTTCATGGTAAGATCATTTCCATTCATTTTCTTTGTGAGTTCTTTTCTCTTGTGTTTGTAATTACTGCAGCTGAGTAGAAGATGCTCTGTCGTTTCACGCTTACCACATCTACACTTGTCATTGGTTGCCTTCCCCTGTTTGTAAAGGTAAAGCTATGTTTGGATGATCAAAGGTTACGGAGCTTCCATTCAATTGATACTCACAGAACAAAGCTCTAACAGTTTTCCAACATACCCCAACTGTGTCAACAACAGCTAACCGACTTTTTGTGTTTCAAAAGTCAAAAAATTGATTTCTGCATATGAAACCTATTTTAGCTCTTTTTTTTGCATCAGATTTTAATTGCGTATGCAGCTATCTAGCTATGACACGATGTCAAAGAAAAATACAAAACAAATGATTCAATATAAAAGAAGAGCACTCATGCCTCAGATTTCATTTGCAAGTACCACTGCGAAGTTATGGCGGCTTTTTCTTCACCCCAAGTCAACCCTCATCCGTGAATACCCACCCAGGGGAACGTCTCAAAAACCCTGAGTTATCCAGACATGTCTCCGTCATCCATCAACTTTTCTCCGCGCGAAGTATGATTTGAAATGTCTCCTTCCCAAGTGGAGCAGGTGCCCAGGCTACTCAAACTATTCCAGAGAACATCACCAGGAGGCGGATCATAACACCTTCCATCGTTGGCTTGTGTTTATATTGTCAGCTGCACTCTCGCAAGCGAAGTCTTGGCGCGCACAAAGCTCAATTCGTAAAACTTGCCAAAATTCAAAATCATACGCCCGTCGAGACTGTATCCATCCTTTGCATCATCTTGTCGACTTGTCCTGATCCCTCTCAGTCCATCCCAAAGAGCTGTCTCCCAGATTTGTGCGCCACGCTTTGCTTCCTCCGTCGGGTATAACCTATTTTAGGTCATAGCTAGGTTGTTATATGCAAATTATGCGATGCTAAGAGTGAGTCAGGACTGCTATATCGAATTCTACTAGACAAAAAAGCGTGTGGTGAACTTGTCACATAGAAATTGAAGTATATGAAACTGTACGCTAAGTCAGTCCAATTATCCAGTATCTTCTGGGAATAATCAATCATATTTTAAAAGTTATTAAAAATTTTTAGAATTTAGAATAATTGGGGCTATCAAGTAGGCCACGTTGTTGATACACACGTGACTACAAATTCTGTAGTTAGTTTCACTTCGGTAGTCAAATCAATGCACTCTACAACCTCACTGACTGAGGGGTCATTATTTCCTTAATAAAAATAATCATTAACAAAGGATTTCTGAATTTGACTTCATTTTCCTGATTTGGCGCCCCATAGGCCCGAGCAAGGAAGGGCAAGACTGAACACCTGTACGCCGTGTCCTCTACGAACCTGGGAGTTATATATTCTTCCAGAGCCAAGTTCAGTCAAATTTCGCAATATCAAAGAAGTTGGCCCACGAGGCAAAAATACAAATTACTCCTCCACGTCGTTTTTTCGCTCCCAACTAATCTGACTCCTACCTAAGTCTCATCAAGTCTACAAGTACGACCAAGTACATTCTCATCCCAATGACCACACCTTCTTCAACCTTCTCTGGTCTCAGTTGACCACCAGAGACACGCCCACGCCGATATTTTTACTTGACGGAGGGAGCAAAGCGTGGCGCACAAATCTGGGAGACAGTTCTTTGGGATGGACGTGAGAGGGATCAGGACAAGTCGACAAGATGATGCAAAGGATGGATACAGTCTCGACGGGCGTATGATTTTGAATTTTGGCAAGTTTTACGAATTGAGCTTTGTGCGCGCCAAGACTTCGCTTGCGAGAGTGCAGCTGACAATATAAACACAAGCCAACGATGGAAGGTGTTGTGACCCGCCTCTTGGTGATGTTCTCTGGTATAGTTTGAGTAGCCTGGACACCTACTCCACTCGGGAAGGAGACATTTCAAATCATACTTCGCGCGGAGAAAAGTTGATGGATGACGGAGACATGTCTGGATAACTCAGGATTTTTGAGACGTTCCCCTGGGTGGGTATTCACGGATGAGGGTTGACTTGGGGTGAAGAAAAAGCCGCCATAACTTCGCAGTGGTACTTGCAAATGAAATCCGAGGCATGAGTGCTCTTCTTTTATATTGAATCATTTGTTTTGTATTTTTCTTTGACATCGTGTCATAGCTAGATAGCTGCATACGCAATTAAAATCTGATGCAAAAAAAAGGGCCCATGCAGTTGTCTATCATACTTTCTATTTTACATGGGAGGAAACCTTTTAGTGAAAACTTCCTGTTAAATTTCTATGTTTTTCTAATGTATCCTTTAGGAAGCGCAGTTACACTATGTTACGGTTTGACCGTGGTTTAGCTTAGGTGGAGACCTAAGCGGAGTTTGGGGGCGGATTAGGGAGAGTGATCCATGTTATCTTGTATCGAGCGACTAAGTTTCACTTCGCCACATTACATTGTAACTGGGAAGGAATGTGAGACGGCGAAGTAGAATTGCCAAGTGAGAGAGTCAGCTAGATGGCAAAGATGACGACGGGCAGTGGCGGAGCAATATGTCATTTTCACCAACAGAGTACGTACTGGATGAGCTAGAAGGATGTACAAATAGTCATTACCCGTAGTTGTGGTACTTCTCTCTTCATATGGTTTAATCTTTCTAAAAGTACACTACAACCAGCATAGTTTCGTCACACACTTTAGTGCCTTCCATGTAATCCAATCACATCAGCTTTATCGACCTCGGTAATGGCTTGACCTATTCCTTTCCTTCGACAGCATCTCGACCACCTTTGTAATCTAGAATTGCTGTATCCAACCATGACTTAGGATTCACTGTGTTATTCTTTTGATGCCTTCAGGATTGTTTATCATTGCTTCGTAGAACCGATCTTTGGCTTGTCTCCAGATTTCTCCTTTTCCATTTGACCATCGAGGGCAGGATACAATTATGTGCTTGGGATTCTGCAATTGGTAGCCCCATGGACAGCTTGAACCGTAGACTCTGGCACTTTTCTTCTATATAAATACAAATTGAGCTCCATGTGCTCACTTCGTGTTTGAATCGCTAGACTGCTTTGAGCCCTTGTCAGGTTTCGGCGAAGTAGGAATAGCGATCCCTGGAGACTTATTTTCCATCGATCCGACTTTCGGTTCTGATGGAACTTGACTGCTCTCCAGGTTTTGGGGTCGGC